GAATCAAAATCACTTAAAAGAAGCCCAAAGAGACCCTCCCCAGTTTCAGCCCCATGCAAGATATTTGCTCTGGTGTTTTAGCCCAGCTTTCATCCTCCTACATTCTATTTAGACCCACAGTCTGTCACAGGGCTTCCCTGTGGAAATGAGCATTAAGGGCTGTGCTGAATGCTTAGAAAAGTCACCACTGTGCTTATTTTGCATTCACTTTGCACTGGCACAAGCCACCGTGTTTGACAGAGACCGGTGAGGCCCAAAATATTTTCTCCTGTGCAAGGAGTGGACTGATTTAAGATGGCACATTGATCACCTGGGGCTCTAGAGCTCTTTTAGGGGGTAGCTCAGGTAAGTGTCCAGAACAAGTCTCTCCAATAAGCGTTGGCTCCTGCCACAGATACATGTAGGTCTACAGATCTGGATTGTGCAGGCACGTGTCTGGCTTTCAGAGACACTGACCTCCTTTGGCTTCAGGTGTTCTGAAAAAAACAGAGAGGATGTGACAAAGCTATGATATAAAAGCCATTCCTGAATATCTGTCTGCAGGTTTGCAGGGTTCCCCTCTTTGAATTAGTGAAGATGAAGTATTTTTTTGAAAATGAATTACACAGTACAAGATCAAATATGTAGAAATATATTGCAAGAAGTCCTATTCAGAAGTATATAAAGAAGGAATACAATTAATCAGCCAAAATATCAATACCCAGTCCTGCAGAGAGGGGTAATTATACTCTTAATTACTTCCCCAGCTGCCTGGCTCGTCACTTCTGTGTGTTGTCTAAAACTACAGAACTCTTGAATCTGATATTCTTAATCATGTTGCGGTTATTAGACTTGCGTGTTTAAAGCCAAATTTAATGTCAACTGGAGACCCAACACTAACATTTGTTACTTACTTGGATATTTGGTATTAATAAATAAGAAAAAATTGAATTAAGAAATACTTTTAATATGAATGCCATCATGAATGCCGTTTGTTTACATCACATACGCCCTGAGTTAGCCAACGAAATCCAGCTGGTCAGGTTCACTCGCCGACTTTGGTCAGTCTCACTTCTGTTCTCACCTGCTGACACAAGGTCCCAGCGCTTGTTATTCAGCTTTGAAAGGGAGGAGAGGTGAAAAATGGTTTAAAGAGAAATTTAAAAAGATTTCTTACTAGTTCTGCAAATGTTTTTTTAGGAGATAGGGGAAGGAACAAAGTTCCCATCAACTTTAAATAAACTGACTTCATTTCCTAGATCCTGCACATCATGCCGTGCCCAGCCAGACCTTAGGTGACCAGCTGGTTACGGGGAGGCGTGAGGCTTATCAGACGGCTGAAGCATCGCAGGCGGTAAGGAGGGAGAGGCCCTTGACAGATGATACATCCACGAACTCCTCACTCCTCGGCGGAGCTCTGGCTGCGTCACTGGTGTGTATTCGCTTTAGTAGGCAAAGAGTCACCGTCTCTTATTCCTGCGTTCAGGTTTTCTTGGCATGTCAGGATCCATGTCCTCTCCAGACACCCTGTGACTGTAACTTTGAGTGGCAGCACTTGAATTCAGCATGCAGCCCTCGCCTTCGCTGCGCACCCCAACATGTCACAGCCAGGCTCTGCTCTAGCTTCAGGACACATTAGAGTGTGACAGGGGGGAAGAGAAAAGAGAGCTGGGGGCAGTGAGGAAGGGATTTGAGTGGGAAAAGATACTGGCTGGTGTTCATTAATTCTTGAGCTTTACCTGAAAAAATGTAAGAAGTAGTGACCACTACTTTGAAATAAAAGTCAAGTTGTATAAATTCCAACTCTTTTTGCAGCTAAATACATTAATTGCATCGGACAAATATAGATCAAGGCAATTTTTTCATCGAATCAGCTTCCAGAAAGGGTGCAAGCCTTGTAAAAATAAACAGTCACCCTAGATAACATTGCTGTTCAGATGAAGCGAGATGGGCAGGTCAACCGCAGCAGCGTCGTTGAGGTCCTGGTCTTTGGTGCCTTCCCAGAGCACTTCATCTAACTCACTGATGGTGGAAAACCAGAAGCAGCTGAGCAAGGAGCCCTTCTGAAATACGTACAATACAGTTGGACCATCCTAGAAGTTTCTGTGTGGTCATCACAACCCTAAGCACTATTCCATACGGCAAACTAGAGGTCACAAACCAATTTGCAACCTGTTACCATCTACGAATCCTTCGCAGAGCATCTTGTTACATAGAGAACCTCAGCGACTGCGACCCACGATGGACTGAACCGCGCTGTCG